GCCTTTGCCCTGCTTCATTTTGAACTCCAAGGCCAAACGTCCCTGTTGTTCCTTTTATCTCCTGACTCCCTACTTTAGCATTCCAGTCCCCTAGAATGAGAAGAACATCTTTCTTTGGTGTCAGTTCTAGAAGGTGTTGTAAATCTTCAAAAAATTGTTCAATTTCAGTCTCCTCAGCAATGGTGGTTGGTGCATAAACTTGGATTATTGCGATGTTGAAAGGTCTGTCTTGGATTCGTATTGACATCATTCTATCATTTTTTGGGATTATATCCCATTACAGCTTTTCCCACTCTTCTGTTGACTGTGAGGTCTACTCCATTCCTTCTATGGGATTCTTGCCCACAATAGTAGATATGATAATCGTCTGAGTTGAATTCGCCCATTCCTGTCCCTTTTAGTTCACTGATGCCCATGATGTCAATGTTTATTCTTGCCATCTCCTGTTTGACCACCTCCAGCTTCCCAAGGTTCATAGGTCTTACGTTCCAGGTTCCTATGCAGTATTTTTCTTTGCAGCATCGGACTTTCCTTTCACTTCCAGGCACGTCTACAGCTGAGCGTCCTTTTGGCTTTGGCCCAACCACTTCATTAGCTCTGGAGCTACTTGTACTTGTCCTCCGCTCTTCCTCAGTAGCACGTTGGATGCCTTTCGACCTGAGGGGCCCATCTTCCAGTGTCATATCTTTTAGCCTTTTGTTTCTGCTCATGGGGCGTTCTTGGCAAAGATAATGGAGTGGCATTGCCAGCAATGTAGCTGCTGCTTATTAACTGGACCAAGCCTGCTTGCCAGCCTTGGAGACTGCTGGGAAACAGAAAATACCAGAAGGAACAACTTTTTACTTACACCTGACCTCATGGGAATTTTTGGTGAGTCTACTCTAGCGATGGACACACAATACTTTCAGTCTTCTGAGTACAATTCAAATATAGTAGGAACCTGGTACAGTATTATCAAAGCAATTCAGGGGCCCTTCCACCCAAAGGATTTAGAATGATGCCATTATCAGACTAACAAGTTTGGAAAGGGAGACAGTTTATTTATTTATTCTTTCATTCATTTATTTATTTTTAAGCCACCTTCCGCCCAGTGAGGAGATCCAAAGAGGTGTGTGTGGGGGAGTTATCATTGATGGGAATGGATTCAAAATTGAGAAAAAGAGTAATAACTCCTGACAACTCTAATACACAAAACGCAGGTCAGCTGAGGTAAACGTCAACTATTTCAGTGCCCAAGAAAATGTTTGGTTTGGGGGAAGAGAAAGAGTCCCTCCTCCTCCTCCTCCTCCTCCTCTAGCGCTGACCAGCCCCACCCCAGAGGAGGGGTGGGGGCAACCAGAACGTCTCCGCGCTTTGCGTTATTTTGTCCCCGCGCGGCCCCTGTACCAGCGGCGGTGTCCAGGCTGGTGGAAAAGTTTCTGCAAGTACTGTACGAAGGTGTGGAAGCGCGCCAGAGGAAGCCTCCCCCACAACGCGAGGGAAGAGGAAAAGGGTGAGTTTTCGGTGGGGGTGGAGGGGGGTGTGTGGGCGCGTGAGGTGGGGCAAGAGCGGGCAAACTCAGCGGCTTTGGAGCTCGGGAGCCGCCGCTGCGGGGACGAAGGAGGCAGGCTGCAAGTTGTCCGGTCGCCATGGCGACGGTGAGGATGCCGGCTGCTGGAGGCGCCCAGAGAGGGTGGCTTGGCTCCCGCGAGGGGAGAGGCTAAAATGCAACGTCCCCGCCACTTGTTGCTCCTTCTGAGCCGCGTAGGGGATGACCTGACCTGTCAGGTAATCGATCATCCTCCATCTGGTAATCGATCATCCTCCATTGTGGCTGCTTCCCCATTTCCCTTAATGGACCAGCCGCCAATGACTCTGTGCTGTCCCAGTATCTGTGGCTTAGGTCATTTATTTGGATATTTTGTAAAATTAGCGATGTCCAGAGGAATACCGGTTTAGTGGGTTGGTGTGAAGAGAAACGCTACTATATCATAACATTTTATGGACTAGAGCCCACATCCTTAGATGCAAGTTCTGTTATCCTAAGGAGTGATATCAGATGGGAAGTAATTGCAAAAAGTACAGATTCTAACTGGCCTGTTGACACTGAACAATGAAATTTTAAGCAGGTCTAGTCAGAAGTATGCCCCACTAAAGTCAGCAAGACGTCCTCAAGTTTGCAAATTATATATGTTGAATACACATAGTGAAACTCACCATTCCCAAAGAAGTGATTGCAGCAACACAACATAGAGCCTTGTGACACCCTAAAGTTTTATTTTGTGTATGCTTTAGTGGACTGCAACTCACTTCATCAAATTAATTTGAGATGTCAAATAACTGTTCTTTTTGCCGCAAAAGATGAATGTGGCTGTCCCAATGAAAATGATGGCAGCACAGAAATACTGTCATGGGTAAGTTAATTGACAGAGACAAAATGATAAAAAACTATTATCAGGATGTAGGCCCCATGTGATAGAACTTGAATCCTTGGAAAGCTGTAATTTCCACATTTATTTATTAATTAGATTTATATACTGCCCTCTGGTGGGGACACTATTCTGGGTGGTTTACAAATTAAAAACTCAGACCCCATATATAACCAAACATGATACATAAATACGGTGGTTCAGTGATTTACATCTAAAGTTACGGGGGGGGGAGCACAAGAGAAGAGAAAAAATTAATATTAACAGATCTGTGAGTTAAGTTATTGAAGGCAGCTTTGTATACTTTTGTCTTGATTAATTTATTGAATGTCAGGAGGGAAGCAGCCTGGATTGAGAAGTGAGGGTGAAGTGGGTAGATGTTTTTTTGAGAGAGACGTTCGGACAAGTATCAAAGTCCCAAACTGTCAAAGGCCTTATAGGTTATAACCAGCATGGAAATGGAATTAACCATTTCATTCAAGAAGTACATTTTGAAGTACTTCGGGTGAGAATGACTTGTTCTGGATGACTTCAGTAGCAAAATGTCCTCAAAGTCTGAGATATTCTTGCACGAGTTTCTGAATATTGACATTTTTCTTATCAGATACATGCCTAATAATTTCTCTCTTGTAGTGTATTAGTGTACCATTGTCTAATAGGGCAGCTGTAGGATCACTATAAGGTAAAGGTAAAGGTTCCCCTTGACATTTAGTCCAGTCGTGTCCAACTCTAGGGCACGGTGCTCATCCCTATTTCCAAGCCGTAGAGCCAGTGTTTTGTCCATAGGCAGTTTCTGTGGTCATGTGGTCAGCACGACTAGACATGGAGCACCATTACCTTCCCACCGAGGTGGTACTTATTTATCTGCTTGCATTTGCATGCTTTTGAACTGCTAGGTTGGCAGGAGCTGGGACAAGCAACGGGAGCTCACTCCGTCACGTGTATTTGATCTTACGGCTGCTGGTCTTCTGACTTTGCAAGACAGAGGCTTCTGCGGTTTAACCCATAGCACCACCACATCCCTAGGATCACTATATGCCCTCTATTATTTAATTTTGTTTAAAAGTGGCATGTTGACACTGAAGACATGTTTGCTCCCTAATTTTAGATGTGTGCAATGTTGCCAACTAATTTCCTGATGTAAGTACTATGCATGTCACCAATTGAATATGAGACAGAAATACAGTTGGAGAATCTGTTGGAGTTGTAGGGAAAGTTTCAGTGTTCGATTTTTCTTTCTTCCACAGAAGTGTGAAAGACAGCTATGTGAAAGTCCTACTAGAAAAAATGTTGACAGTCCTAATTATGTGGCATGTGGTTATTTCTGTCCAAATCCCAGTGCTGCATGAACAGAAGTGTAATCTCTCACATCTTTCATGGATTCCTCTGACTGAGGCTAGTGGTTCAAGGACTTAGCTCTGTTCCAGTTGTTGTCTTCATCAGGACAAGTTACTATAGTCTAGATCAGTTGTTCTTAACCTTTTTGAAAGAATTGCCCCCTTGAGCCATTGAGTTATGTCTTTCACGGATTCCTCTGACTGAGGCTAGTGGTTCAAGGACTTAGCTCTGTTTCAGTTGTTGTCTTCATCGGGGCAAGTTACTATAGTCTAGACCAGTTGTTCTTAACCTTTTTGAAAGAATTGTCCCCTTGAGCCATTGAGGAAGTTATCATCACCCCCTCTCCCCCAGGTTTGGCGGTGCAGTGGCGGCAGTGGCACTGGATCTGCTGCCAGCACCAGTTGCTCTGGATCCGCCTGCCGGATCTGCTGCCAGCACTGCGGCTGCAGCCGCCTTCTCAGTTTTGGCTCACTCCATCGCCTCCATACTGCCCCCCTTCTGTTCCTTCACCCCTGCATTGTCCCTTTTTGTTCCATCGCCCCCCTGAAAAACAAAATTGCCCCCTGGGGGGCGATATCGCCCAGATTAAGAACCACTGGTCTAGACCACTGGTTCTTAACCTTGGGTTACTCAGGTGTTTTTGGACTGCAACTCCCAGAAGCCTTCACCACCAGCTGTGCTGGCTGGGGGTTCTGGGAGGTGCAGGTT